AGGGAAATGCAAATCAAGACAACTTTAAGATACCATCTTACACCTGTCAGAATGGCTAAAATAAAAAATACCAATGATAGCCTTTGCTGGAGAGGTTGTGGAGAAAGGGGTACACTCATCCATTGCTGGTGGGAATGCAAACTTGTGCAACCACTTTGGAAAGCAGTGTGGCGGTTTCTCAGGAAATTCGGGATCAACCTACCCCTGGACCCAGCAATACCACTCTTGGGAATATACCCAAGAGAGGCCTTATCATACAACAAAAGTATATGCTCTACTATGTTCATAGCAGCATTGTTTGTAGTAGCCAGAACCTGGAAACAACCTAGATGCCCTTCAATGGAAGAATGGATGAAGAAAATATGGAATGGAATGTATACATGTTAGAGTACTACTCAGCAGTAAAAAACAAGGACTTCTTGAATTTTGCATACAAATGGATGGAAATAGAAAGCACTATCCTGAGTGAGGTAAGCCAGACCCAAAAAGAGGAACATGGGATGTACTCACTCATATTTGGTTTCTAGCCATAAACAAAGGACATTGAGCCTATAATTAATGATCCTAGAGAAGCTAAATAAGGAGAACCCAAAGAAAAACATATATGCATCATCCTGAATATTAACCTTCATCAGGCGATGAAAGGAGACAGAGACAGAGACCCACTTTGGAGCACCGGACACAAATCTCAAGGTCCAAATCAGGAGCAGAAGGAGAGAGAGCACGAGCAAGGAACTCAGGACGGCAAGGGGTGCACCCACACACTGAGACAATGGGGATGTACTATCGGGAACTCACCAAGGCCAGCTGGCCTGGGTCTGAAAAAACCTGGGATAAAACCGGCCTCGCTGAACATAGCGGACAATAAGGACTACTGAGAACTCAAGAACAATGGCAATGGGTTTTTGATCCTACTGCAAGTACTGGCTTTGTGGGAGCCTAGGCAGTTTGGATGCTCACCTTACTAGACCTAGATGGAGGTGGGTGGTCCTGGGACTTCCCACAGGGCAGGGAACCCTGATATCTCTAAGGGCTGACAAGGGAGGGGAACTTGATTGGGGGAGGGGGAGGGAAATGGGAGGCGGTGGCGGGGAAGAGACAGAAATCTTTAATAAATAAATAAACGGAAAAAAATCGCATTCTAGCAAATTAAACCAGGAAATAAATAGTTCAGTATTGGATCTTGGATCCCAGTTGTCTCTGCCTTGGCTCAATTATTTTAATATTAAAACTAAATTTCTGAATGTAAAAAGTGATTATTACTAGCAGCATGATTAACTTTAGTAAATTTATTTTTAGTCATTAGTCTTGAAGGCAGTCAGTTTGATAATCAGGTTTCGTTGTGTCGGGGATGTTATTTTGTGTGCATGTCTGCGTGTGCTCAGCGTATGCACGTGTGTGCCTGTGGAAGATAGGTTGGTGTAAGATGTCTTCCCTCTTTGCTCTGAACCTTATTTTTTGAGACAGGGTCTCTCAGTGAATCTGGATCCTACTGATTGGCTAAGTGTAGCTGACTAGTGAGTCCTGGGATCCTCCAGCCTCTGTCTGCAAATCTGTGATGACAGGAACTGCTACCATCATTTTTCTGTGGGTCCTACTGTGTGTACAGCAAGCGTTTGATCTACATTTGCCCAGATCACCGTGTCTCTGACACTCCGCTCTGTAGCTTTAGAGCTTTGGGGCCATTTCCGGGCCTCCTGGTCACCTGGCAGCAATAATGGAGGTTAAAGGAGACGCTTCTGTCTTAGTTACCTTTCTGCTACAGTGACGAGAAACCAGGACTAGGCAACTTATTGTCTCACGGTTTCAGAGGGTGAGTCCATGGCCGTCATTGTGGGGAGCTGGAGGAGTAGCTGAGAACTTACATGTCGAGACCACATGTGCAGAGCGCTAACTGGGAATGGCGTGGGTTTTGAAACATCAAGCTCCGCCCACAGTGACATATATCCTCCAACAAGGTCCCACCTCCTAGTCATTTCTAACTGTTCCCCCATCTAGGGATTAAACATTCAGGTATATGAGCCTATGGGGGCCATTCTCATCCACACCACCGTATCTGGCAACATTACTTCCCAGTTTCTATTGAATAGAACTCACTTTCCTTATGAAAGTAGAAACTGGTTGTTATTTCCCCCGTTTTCATTTTTATTTTATTTTTTTAAAATATTTATTTATTATGTATGCAATATTCTGTCTGTGTCTATGCCTGCAGGCCAGCAGAGGGCACCAGACCCCGTTACAGATGGTTGTGAGCCACCATGTGGTTGCTGGGAATTGAACTCAGGACCTTTGGTATAGAGCAGGCAATGCTCTTAACCTCTGAGCCATCTCTCCAGCATGCCCCCCCCCCCCCGTTTTCATTTTTATCCAGTTAATTAATTCAGGAAGTATTAATTAGTTATGCTGTATCAGGGCCTGGTGTAGGTGATGGGCATATTTTGATGAACAATACTGACAAAATTTCCTGTCCTTAGAAGTTTTAGTCACAGGAATTGGATAACGAAATCAATGGGGAGATTATACGGTGAGTAGGAAGCTGGGAAGAAACACAGAAGGAGAAAAAAAGCACAAGAAACAGAACCAAAGGGAAGCTCAGCAGGAAAAGCACTTCCGCCAAGCTTGCCATCCCAAGCTCAACGCCCAGCACCCTGCAGTAGGAGACAGTTGATTCCTCATGCTCATAGTGGCACGTGCACCCACCCTTTCAAAACGAATGAAGTTGTCGAAAAAGAAGAGATAAGGGGCATTGCTGGAGGGGGTGAGTTCACACAGGAGGTCAGGGAAAACCCACTCAAACAGATGCTGTCTTGGGAAGACATTGTGACTCCCTAATACATACACACAGCTTGAGTCGGCTTTCCTTCATTTCCAGTTTGCCAGTCTTCCCTTCTCCAGTAACTTGCTAACGATGGGGATGATTTTGGAGTTTTATTACTTTAGAGATGTCAGTGTTAACAAGCAGCTGTTTCCTCGTTCTCTTTCTCCACCTTCCTCAGCTCCCTTTGAATGTCTCTGCCACAGTTCCGGGAGGACTCGCTCTAAAAGAGAACACTGTTGAGAAGTCTTCCTAGCGGAGGCAGAGAGAAACCCGGGGGAGGCCGACTGAGGCTAGAGAAACAATCATGGTATTTGCCCCTTGGGAAAGTCTTGTATGCCGCAAAGTTTGGTTGATGAAGAAGGACTCTTGGATTCATTCACTCATGCCACAGGCAATAGGGAGAAAATACTCTTTAAAAGCTTCATTGAGGTAGCAATTTATTTATCTCTTTCTTTTTAGTTTATGAAAAGGTCGACATTTGTGTGTGTGTGTGTGTGTGCATGTGTGTCATGGTGCACATGTGGAAGTCAGAGGGCAACATTTTAGGAGCTGGTTTTCACTTGTACCCTATGGGCGCCAGGGATCAAACACAGGTTGTTGACTAATGTTCCGTTACTTGCTGAGCCATCTTGCCATACTTTTTATTTTTATTTATTTAAAAAAAATAAAAAAAAATTAAACACAGAATCTTGTTATGTAGCTCAGGCTGGCTTTGAACTGCCCTACTTGGGTCTCCCATTGCTGAGATTACAAGCTTTTACCACCCCGATCCCATTTCAATTTAATCACTAAGTGGGGGCAGAAGATAATCAGTTATAAAATCACACAATGTTTTCAGTATGAGGTTTTAAAAATACTTTACGTGAGCATGCCTGAGTGTGTGTCCTGTGTAGCACATGCAGTACCAGTGGAGGTCTGAGGAGGGCGCCAGACCCCCTTGTGGGTGATCCGCCTTGTGGGTGCTGGGAACTGAACCCCTGTCCTCTGAAAGAGCAGCCGGGGCTCTTATCCCCTGACCCATCTCTCAGCCCCTCCAGTACAAGTTAAAATTCTGTATGCTTTAGGGTGTGCTTTTATAACCCATGTTTGCTCCAGTTTCCAATTATTTTTGGTGGTAGCGGTCAAGGACAGCAGGTTTGTATTCACAGGGTCAGGCTGCGCCCCAAAGGGTAAGAAGTGTGAACAAACAGGAAGCCTGCCGCTGTTCACCAGAAGCCCGGCAGAAGCTGGCGGAAGATTACAGCGTCAGACGGAGTATTTACGTCTAATGAGAGGCAGACACAAATACAAGTTCAAGGTAACTTTGTGGCAAGTCATCCAGTCTCGTTGCTCCAGGCCCCTCACCGAAAAACGAGGACACCACAGGGTTAAAGTGACGACCAGTCTGACTAAATTCACAAAGGTATCTACGGTGATGGTATCAAAACTCTTGTGAAGTCTAGTGTGCAGATAAATCTCTAGGACTGGCGAGAAGGCTCACCAGGCAAAAGCACTTGTCAAACAAGCCTGGCAACCCCTGTATGATCCCCAGAACCTGCTTAAAGTCGGAAGGAGAGAACCGACTACATAAAGTTGGCGTCTGACCCCACATGCATGTCATGGAATGAGCGTGCACACACTCCACAATAATTCTTTTTCTTTTTTTTTTCTTTTTCTCAAAAGGCCAGAAAAGGGCACCAGATCTCATCATAGATGGTTGTGAGCCACCATGTGGTTGCCGGGAACTGAACTCAGGACGTCTGGAAGAACAGTCGGTGCTCTTTACCTCTGAGCCATCGCTCAGCCCCCCCCCTTTTTTTTTTTTTAAAGAAAAAGATAAATCTCTCATAAATTTGATTTTACCATCAAAACCTGCTCTGGCGAGTTTTATTAGCTCGGTCAACACAGAAAGGTTTATTAAACCCTCATTCTGTGTCTTGGAATTCAGTTGATCTTAATCCAGGTCTTGTAATGGACGGAAAAGATTCCCAGCGTCATTAAAACTCTAGTACATCATGCCAGATGGTCAGACTTTTAGAAAGGTTTTTGTGCAGCCTGCAGGATGCTTGGGTCAGGTGGGAAGGCGGGAGGACCTGGGCGCAGCGCCCGAGGATTAGAAGCCGGAACTCCGGCTCCGCCCATCGGTTGGCGTTTAGACCCCTGCCGGGCACTCCGCAGCCAGCGTGGCCGCGCCCTCCCGGAACTGGCGGCCCGCGCGGCGGTGCGAGCGATGGAGGTTCTTCCCGCGGGCGGGACGCAGGAGCCGCTGCTGCAAGCTGAGGCGGCGGCGGAGCACTCGGCAGCCGAGGGCGACGAGGAGCCGCAGCCCCACGGCCGCACGAGCCGCACGGCGTCCCTAGTGAGCGGGCTGCTCATCGAGCTCTACAGCTGCACCGAGGAGGATGAGGTGGCAGCCGGCGGGGACCGTGCGTCCCGGAGTCGCCCCCCGCGCAGCGACAGCCTGGATAGTTCCACCGAGACCTCGGGTTCCGACGTATTCCTGGGAGGTCGCGGTGTGGGCGACTCCCGAGTGCTGCAGGAGCTGCGGGAGCGGCCGAGCCTGCGGCTCCAGATGCAGTACCTGCGGCAGAAAGGTGAGCGGCGGCGCGGAGACTCCTGCCCATCTGTGCCACTTGCCCACCTGCGCCACCTGCTCTCCTTTCTTCCTAAGTTACCTGTCTACTTTGCGCTGTTTGCGCCTCCAGCCAACCTGCCCTCCTGCGCCACCTGTCCACCCGCGCCATTTGCGCCCCTACTCCACCTGTGCCAGTTACGCCACCTGTCCACTTGCGCCATTTGCGCCCCTACTCCACCTGTGCCATTACCCTCCTGGTCGCTGGCGCCCTGTCGCACACCCGGAGAGTGTGACTCCTGGGGACTTACAGTCACACTTTCACTGCGTCTATTTCCAACCCCCTCTGCAGGTGTGGCTCAGAGCGTGGTCGAGTCTCCCCACCTCCCTCAGTCCCTCAGGTGCCCAAGGCCCGAGACAGTCTAGATTCTAACTTTGCCTGAACAGCTGTTAGGACTAGTTTGGAGTTTCTTCCTTGTGCACACGAAGTTATCTAGAGGGCGCTGGGAGGAGGGAAATAGCCGACTTCCAGGACTTTCCACCCCGCCCCTTCCCTAAGCCACCCACTTGGATAGGGTTTAACTAGGGAGGCAGAATAATTCGATAGTGCAGCTTCGCTGCAGGTTTAATCTGGGTCTCTGGAAAGGATTGAGTGCATTTAACTGCTGCAACCTTCCGCCAGCCTGGAGAGCTGAGAAATGACCTTGGTTTCCTCGGAGCAGAGCCTAATTTGATAGGTCTTTTGTTATCAAACTCTGAGGCTCACGTTCTAGTTAGATGATGATTATTTATCCTCAATAATGATAGCTTGTGTTTCAGCCACCCTCACGTTTCTTGCAAGTATCGTCTTTGTGCTAAGTGACCCTGGGAGGGATAAAGCGAATTATACATACAGTGCTCATGCACTGACAATGTCCAGTCTAGCTGGTTCCAGAAAACAAAACAAAACAAAACACAACAAAAAACAAACTAGAAGAACAATAAATCTATCTGCTTTCTCCTATCTCTGTAAACAGTTTTCATCTTCCTTTTCTGGTCAGGTTTCCCCTGCAGCTGACTATGGTACTTTGACTGGAGTTGGGTCATTTTATTTTATATGATTATCCAGCTGTGGTAAGAAGTGCGTCTGTTCAGACTCCAACAGAATCAGTCCTGCAAATTTTGATTTGATTTCCTTGTTTGAGAGAGCTGTTCACATTTCACTACCAGGAAACTTTGGTGACTGCTCATTTCCTTTTGGTAGAGGGAAACCGGCGAGGCAAAGCTTGCAGGAGAGGTCGGCAGTTTGCCGGTGGGTGGCGGCACTCTACGAATCACTCACGGGACCTGGAGGAGTCCCTTTCTCCCCAGTTTTCATCCCATTGCTCACCCAGCTGCCCGCGTACCTTTTCTTTCCGTGCAGTTGACTGCGTTGGTTGAAGAAGACACCACATAGTGACGTACTGTCTCTGTTGATAAACATCCCTAGAGCGTCGGTTAGACAGCCGGGAGATCCCTGCAGTTGTTCGCTGAAATGATGCTCGTTGAGTCTGATTGTTTTCAGCCTCAGAACCCAGCTGTTCCGACGCAAGTCTAGGTGCTGTGCTCACTGGGTTTCACACAACGCTGATAACCTGAGTGGTAATTTTCTTCTCTCACTGTTGCCTGTTTCACTGATGTGTCAGCACCTTCCCAGCTAGTGTGTGTGGGTCTGTGGTTTAGGGGGCAGTAACAAGACGGCTTCTGAAGGAAACCGGGCTGTGTGTGGTGAAGGTCTGAACTTTGGAGGCAGATTCCCTAGTTGGCATACTGCTGCTGTTTCTAGCTAGCTGTAAGGCTTTGCGCCTACGTTAATGTGTGTTAAGTGCTCAGGGAAGGTTAGAGATGATTTTCATTATAAACCCATTTATCATATAAGGATAAAATTCCTTAGAGAGAAAATTGGTCAGTTTTCCAGCTGACCAGTTTCCTTTGTTTCTTAGTGAGAAACAGGAGTTGACACGGAGACGATTCTGCCTGTATTGTGTTTATTTAACTGTAGATATTACTGTAGGAGACATTTCCCTACAGTATCGGAACATGTTCCCATAAGTAGCACATAATACAGAGAAACGAAGAGTCGTAGATACCTTAAGAAACACCAAAAATTAGATAGGGTTTTCATATCATCTCTTTTTGTTGTGAGCATTAGTTTTAAGAATGCAGAATGGTTATTAATAATTATTATTATTAAGGTTCTTAGTTATTTTAATTTTTTAAGAGTTATTTTACATGTTTGGGTGCTTTGCCTACATGTCTGTGCACCATCTGTGCACAGTGCCTGCCAGGTCAGGAGGAGGTGTCAAAACCCCTGGACCTGGACCTACAGGCAGTTGTTAGCCCCCGTGTGTGTTAGGATTTGAACTTGGTCCTTTGGAAGAGTCAGTCAGTCAGTGATCTTAATTCCTGAGTCATCTCTCTAGCCCAAGATGTAGAGTTATTTGATCCTTTTAGAGGAAATACATTTTCTACCACAGATGGAAAATTATGGGGTTCTAAATGAAATATACTGAGAAGGTTATTAGAAGACCATAGACTTAAAACTAGTACAACCACATTCATCTACATCACAAAATGTGAAGGCGTTATTTGCTTTTAACTGACAACTGATAAAGCTGTTTGTAGCTGGTTTCTATTTTTTGTGGTCTTGGGGTCTGAACAACCGGAACCTTGCACGTGTTAGGCAAGGCCTCTACCACTGAGCCCTCTTTTACCTTTTGTCTGTTTTTGTGTGTACATACATGTGCATGTAGAGCCCAGTGTGCCACCATGACTGTGTTTTTATGTGGGTGCTTGGCTAGGTGAGTTTGCATTGCTGTCTCCACAGCCCCTGAGTTCTTTTTTTTTTTTCTTTTTTTTCTTTTTTTGGTTTTTCGAGACAGGGTTTCTCTGTGGCTTTGGAGCCTGTCCTGGAACTAGCTCTGTAGACCCAGCTGGTCTCGAACTCACAGAGATCCGCCTGCCTCTGCCTCCCTAGTGCTGGGATTAAAGGCCCCTGAGTTCTTGAGACTGGATCTTAGTTGTGCTGACTGGCTTTGAACTCGGGATCCTCCTGCCTTAGTCTCTTGAGTAGGCGGTGTTTTAGGTCAGCATAAGCATCGGAAGGTAAATGTGCACCTGGAGTCTTTGCTTACATGTTACATGTAAGGCATTTATCTGAGAGAATTTGTCTCATGAGTACAGTGGAAGATGGATGGGTGCCTCACTGGACTGGGATGCCTTGGCTGAATATGTACAAGTTGTCTTAGACGAAGAACAAGAAGGAGTGGGTTTAAATGCATTTTTCTACATAGATAACTTTTGGCTAGTATCACACTGGGGGCTTATCTCTCTCTTTCCCGATAGACTCTAGTGAGCTGAGGACAATCCTTCGCGAGCTGAAGTACAGGATTGGCATCCAGTCGGCGAAGCTACTCCGGCAGCTGAAGCAGAAAGACAGACTTCTGCATAAAGTTCAGAAGAACTGCGACATTGTGACCGCCTGCTTGCAGGCTGTGTCGCAGAAGAGAAGTGAGTCCTGGGGTCTGGGGTGTTTGTCCCTCCTTGGCCACTTTTGCCGGTAGTGAAGCTGCAGCAGGCACTGCTTTGCTATAGTTTGAAAAGTTCAGGAACCTACCAAATAATACAGCTTCCTAATGAATGCTTCATGCCTAATGTTAAATCCTAGTTTTGTTATTCACCATTTGAGGGGAATAACCGAGAACAACAGAGAAAACACTTCTCTCTGACGATGGTTACTGTTGATGCGACAGCAGGTACACTTAAAGTCGTGTCCTTGCTCCCTTAATCTCTGTGCTCTAATGGGATATTAAACAATTGGCCTAGCCAATGAGGGCCGCTTACAGCCTGCTCTGAAATCTAAGAAGGGCAAAGCATTTGAACAAATGAAGCCTGTGTCTTGCGGTACCCACTTTCAGCTAAGAGCTGCCTAGCTTGTTAACGGAACTGAACTGCTCAGCTACTGATCCATCTTCATTGATATGAAAACTTTTCAGTTGATTTTGTAATTCTCCATACAGTTGCGTTGTGCTTGATTCTGCTAACGTGTCCCTGTTTCTGTTTTGCCTTCTTTGTTGACACGCAGCCTGGCAGAGTGGGGTTCAGGTATGGCAAACGCAGGCACAAGAGTTGCTACCGTCAGACGCCTGGGGCGGTTTCTTGGGTGCATGTCAGAGTGGCTTCTTCTTTTTGCTTTCGCCTCTGTCGTGTTTTATATGTAAACAGATTGAAGGGTTTTTTTTTTTTGCTTTGTTTTGTTTTAATTTAAAAATCAAGATGTGTCTGTTTTCATGGAACAGATTCCAGGGCTTAATTAGTTAGTTTGTAATAATAGCATTATCAGCTTAAAATCCCATCCGATGGTGAGTTTCCTGCCTCTCTTCCATATATTGCTGCTTGATATTTTCTACTTATTGACATTTTTGGCTGAGAGGTTTCATGTAATGCATTTGAAGGAGAATGCGGTTCAGTGACCACAGTGGTCATGAGGGTCCACACCAGGAGGAGCGCAGTGGAGTAGGCGAACTTTTCTCTAGTCAGGAGCTTATCTGGTGAGCCAGAGGAGGGTGACGGAAGCAGGTGTGTGCATGGATCTGCATGCATGTATGTCTTTGTAGAGTTGGCATGCATTATACATGATCACTTTTCATGGATTCTGACTCACTCAGATGTGTTAAGTAGACATGATTTCCCCTCTTTTCTAGTAGGAAAGACTGGTTTTGATTTCTTTCTTTTAACTTTGGGTCTATCTACTTAATTATTAGCTTTTCTGCAAGAAGTTAAAAGCACAAGCTGGTGGAAGCATGGAGTTCTGATGCGGAGGGAAGACACGGGGAAGGGTGGGGCAGACGAGAGGAGCCGGAGCTTGCTGGACTAATGGTAGATTTTAGATGTATTTGATTGACAGAAGGATTGACTTTTGTGTTTTTCAGACAATGTGCCCACCAGCACCAAACTCAACTTGTGAGTCTGTGACTGCATCCTCCTTATATATTTTAAAATTATGTCCCTTAATTCTAGCCATTTTTTTCTTTCATTGTAGAGACTGTGGGGCTGTCTGGAGCCTTTCCCAACCAGCTCAGTTCTTTCCTTGGTAATACAAGTGCGTTAGCGTTGCAGCCTCTAACTCATTGCTACTCTTTCTGCAAAGCCAACCAACAGCAAACATACTGAGAGTTCTTAAGTTCCACTGCCGTTCAGAACAACTGCTCCTGCTTTAATAGCAGCTGGCAGCAACATAGTCAAATACAGTGTGTTGACTTGTTTTATTAAATGCAGAAGTTGGGATTAGGGAGATGACTTGGTGGTTTAGGGTGCTTGAATGAGGATCTGATGAGTCGGATCCCCAGAACCTAGGTGGAAACAGCTGCTTATACTTTACAGTTCCTTACAAACACCTTACGGCGGTATCTCAGTTACTGTCCTGTTGCTGTGAAGAGACACCATGACCGGTGCGTTTTATAAAAGTGAGCATGTGTTTCATTTATTCGGGGGTTTGATTACAGTTTTAGGGGACTGGCTCATGACCATCATGCGTGGTGGCAGGCAGGCATGGTGATAAAGCTGAGAGCTTTCTTCTGGTTCCCGCAGGTGAGACTGAGGGAGAGGGAGAGGGAGAAACAGAGAGAGTCAGAGAGAGTCAGAGAGAGTCAGAGAGAGTCAGAGAGAGACAGAGAGAGTCAGAGAGAGTCAGAGAGAGACAGAGAGAGACAGAGAGAGTCAGAGAGAGACAGAGAGAGACAGAGAGAGTCAGAGAGAGTCAGAGAGAGACAGAGAGAGACAGAGAGAGACAGAGAGAGTCAGAGAGAGTCAGAGAGAGTCCGAGAGAGACAGAGAGAGTCAGAGAGAGACAGAGAGAGTCAGAGAGAGACAGAGAGAGACAGGGAGAGACAGAGTCAGAGAGAGACAGAGAGAGACAGGCCTTGCCCTGGACTTTTGAGACAAGGTCACACCTTCTAATCCTTAATGGTTCACCACCTGGGAACCAGACACTCAAATATGCGAGACCATGAGGACCGTTCTCATCGAAGCCACCACAGACAGTGTCTCTTCATTAAAACTGGGGCAGGAATAAGAAAAGCATGGTCTGCCAAGTGTGGTGGTATGTCTGTGTGCGTAGCTCTCAGGAGATTGAAGCAGGAGAATCAAGATTATGGGATAAGCTTGGGCCACATTGCCAGACTCTAGTTCAAAAAAAAAAAAAAGTCAAACAGGAAGGAGGTTAGGATCAATGTTTGTCTTATAGAAGAATGTGTCTTCTTTCTATATCACCTAAGAGTATCTATTTTAATAAACATTTTAATACTGTTTAAAAATACCAGCACATCTGTGATCATTTATTGAGTATATGCCTTATGCTCAACTATTGCCTTATGGTACCTCCTTTAGGGACCTTGTATTAGAATATTGAGATTCCGCAAGTTTAACTATTTGCCCAAAGTCACACTACTGAGTGATTGAGAAAGAATTAGAAGATAGCACCCTCAAAAGTCCCCGTTTTCCACCATAAGCCACAAGCGCTCTGTTTCTTCCTCTAGTTCTACAATATTGTCACACAGCATTGCTAAATTTTGTAGTGTGCAAAAAACAAGGTAATCCCTGGTTTATAGCATGCTCTGCTCCAGTACAGCCTGCACAGGAAGGAAATGCTTATCTCGGCTAAATGATTGGATCGTACAAACGTAGTTTGGCGTGTAGGAAAACCCACTTAAAGGCTCTAGGACAATGAAAAGAACCAAAGGAAGTTGGGTCAGGAGGATCAAGAGTTTGAGTTCAGACTGTGTGACGTAGTGAGACCCTGTCTCAAAAAAAACCCAAAAACAACAACAACAACAAAAAAACCAACATAAAACCTCCTCTAAACTCTAAACAAACAAACAAAACAAGCAAAAACCATGGTGCAGGATCAGTACTTGTCTGATGGAGGAGATATTTCCCTCATATTTATCTAAAGATGGGCTGTTGAGATATTTACGTATTTTGCTGAATCTCCTTTTCCTGAAAGCAGAAGCCATGTTCTTAGCCTCACATAGCTTTATAATCTGCTTTGCAGATTTTAGGTGGATGGCTGCTACAAATCAAGCAATAAAACATAGCTGTAACTTTAAAGTTGAGATGAGAGGAAGCATGAGCAAAGTATGAATATATGTGGCGTGTCGAAGCCTTGCGGACCACACACAGGCTTATCAGAGAGCTGGCAGCCTTGCTTTAGTAACGAATCTGCTGTAGCATCCTGCATCTCGTTTCTTCTACAAGATCCAAATGCCTTGTCAAATAGGTGAGTGTCCTTTGTGTGTTTATGTGCTGGTGCTCATGTGTGTGCAGGTATGCATGTGTGCCGTTGTGCATGTATGCACATGTACAGGCATGTGTGTGTTGTGTGCATGTGTGTGCCTGTACGTGACGGTCAGAGGCCAGTGTTTGGGAGTTGGTTTTCTCTCTCTACTGTATGGGACCAGGGGACTGAATTCAGGTGCATAGGCTTGGAGACAAGACCTTTATCCTCGGAGCCAGCCCACTAGCTCTAGACACTGTTCTTCAGTCTGTTGTTTTGTTTTGTTGTGGTGTTGCAATAGTGAACAGTTTTCTTTCAGTCATGGCTTACACAAGTAAAATGGATCTAAATGCCTAAGCAGCCTGGCAGACATAGTTAAAAGTCCAGGGACATGTGACAGATCCAGGTGCCTGGACAGAATCTTTGCAAAGGACCGTCACTGCTTACCAGTTTGTCCTCCAGCCAGCAACCCCATGTGAATGAACGGATTTATTCTCCCAGAGCTCCAGAAACTCCAAAGTTCACTTTCCTTGGTCCCTTGGGCCTCCTGCTTGGTAGGAATCAAGAAATAGATTCTTTGTATGTGAGCAAGGGTGAAATTCTGCAGAAGGAGAAGGATCGGGTGGCTCTGAAGTGACCGTGGTACCGACAGTCTGTTCAGTTTGTTGGTGCAGTGTCTGTGTGTGTTTAATTTTGCTCATTACTAGTGTAAACCAACACCTTTGCATGATTTTATTGGCTGTCCTGGTACCATTTTGTGTGAGGTGCCCATTTCCCTTGCTAAACAGTCTGACATTTTCTTACAGATTTGATGGGATTCTATGTCACATACATGTCTTACGAATGTGTCCCCGATTTGTTTATATTTTGTCATTTCACTCTTATGAATGTTCCTAACTGAGCAACAGTGCTAAGTTCTATGGAGATTTCACAGTCATGTGACCTGTGCATTCAGAGAGTCCATGCTCACTAGGGCCTCTCCAGTGGTTCAATGCTCTGTGGTTGATGTCTTAAAGTTATCAGTTTTGAGGGGCAGGTGGTGACAGGAACAAGGTTTAATGTAAACCAAGGTGGCATTGACCTCAGGCCCATTATGTCGCTGAAAATGACCTGGGATTTGTTTTAATGTGTTAACCTTTTGAATAATTTAATAATTCTCACAATATATTTTGATCATACTCACCCTTAGTACCGTCTCCTGCCCTCTTCTTCCTACCCTGACCCCTCTTATCACAAC